GTCTACACCCCTCCAGGTCTCCTGAGTCACAGTAGCTGGTCTACACCCCGTCGTGGTCTCATATGTCACAGTAGCTGGTCTACACCCCACCAGTGTTTCCTGTGACTGTGACCCCACAGTCCAAACCATGTGCAGTCTCTGTTTGTCATTTTCTTCTGTGAGGTTGCTGTTTATACAGTCATACAGTCTACAGTCTCTCAGCCTCTCACACATTCAGTCACTCTGCAGTGCAGGGGCAGGGGCAGTAGCAGGTACCTGAGAACAGGGAGGCGAGGGACAGTGAAAGTCCACTCCTCGACACCGCCAGTAGGGACCCCCCCTCGCTGCCATCTGAGGGACAACAACACTTCACTGGGCACCATTTCCATGGCAGTGCCCCCCATAACCTCCCCATACACACTCTCACTCGGAAACAGCACCCCCAAACCCACTCAACTCATCCCCATTCTGTAGGCCCTGGCAAAACTGCACATCCTCCCAGAGACACAGCCCTGCCCTGGAGCTATTCTGGACCACAAGACTTTTATTCTATTACAGGGAGGCCTGTTAGAGTGACACAGAGACTCTAAAACAGCTTTCAGACTCCCCACTGATCCATCTGCTGTCTGATCTGCTTGGAAAAACAGAGGAAAGGAATTATCTACATTTCTATGATTTTGTTTCAACCACACATATGTGTAAACGAGCCTGGAACCTATCCTAGAAGTGTAGGGCACAAGGCAGGACTAAACCATGAACTTGATACCAGTCCACTGCTGAGCACATATACACACAGCCTAAAGACAAGAGTAACAGACTTAACAGATCTTAAATTACTTAAGACAAGTGCAAGTCAGATGATTGAGTTGGTGTCCAGACTGCAGACAGGCACACTTTCCATTTTTCTTTGATAAGGTGATGTCTCTCACCGTTTTGCATTAATGAACGTTTTAACAAAATATCCCCATAAAGTGTTTGAAGAAATTCCATAAACTTTAAAACTTTACACAAGGGACAAACTCAGGTCTGCTCTCTTCCTTAAAGAAATGAGCAGGGGAGTGAAAAACCAGGAATCACGCTCGGGTAAGGTTTTTGGGCAGCACCACAGTAACACTACACGCAAAGATCTCTGGAAGTAATAAACACCACTCCTCTTAGCCTCGCTGCCTCTTCCTCATTACTCCTCTCCGTGATGCTCAATCAATCCCAATTTCTTTCCTCTCTCCATACCTCTCAGTTCGCACTCCTCCACCTCCTCAGCAGAGCCAGAGTCAGAGAGGTGCAGGGAATCCTGGGAGCTATGCTGGGAGTCACCACTGTCAGAAGTTGGAAATGCTGGGATGGGGGTAAAGAGACAAATATGAGAGATCTTCCTTTCTCCTACAACGTAGAATACACAGTTATTCAGGGACAGGGGCAAGGAGTGGGACAGAGAGGCGAGTGAAGACGTAGGATGGTGCTGAGAAGGCGTAACAGGCAGTAACGCACTGTGCTGTGACTGCACTGCTGGCTGCTGCCGGCTCTTCCTGATCTGCTGCCTGCGCAGACGAATCTTCTGTTTCAGCTGCTGGATCTCGGAGTCACTCTCTTCCTCCTCCTCTGCCTCAGCACGCAGTCGCAGGTTACACTTCATCAGCTCAATGGCCGCGATAAGGGACTCTGAAATACTGAAGTGTGCATTCTCCTGCAGGCAGACAGGGGGGGGCGCTATTACCATCACATTCTCTCTCCCAGTTCCTCTGCTCCCACAGCCTCCCCACCCCCCTCTCCCAGTTCTCCCCAGACCCTCTGCTCCCACAGCCTCCCTTCCCCTCTCCCAATTCTCCCGGTTCCTCAGGTTCAGCCACCAGCCCACCCCTCCTGCCCGAGTCACCTCCAGCTGCAGCCACGCCTCACCTTCTCCAGGTCGGCACAGCTGCCGAAGTCTTGCTCGGAGAGGTAGCTGATGAGGCTCTGTCCCTCGGAGGGCCGGCGGAACATGCCGTCAGAAACGCTGCTGTTCTGAGACCCATCTACAAGACGCAGGAGACGCGTCAAGCCCCACGTACATACAGACTGACATGCATGCGCGTGCAAAACTGCCCAGAAGTTTGATTTGGTCCAAGTGCCGCACCTACCCGACTCCATATACAGAGAGCTGGGGCTGCTGTCCTCGCTGCTCTGGGGGGAGAAGGCGCTGTACTCTTTCGCTCCACACACCTCGGCCCTTGACTCTGGCACACATACACACACAGGTCAGTGCACACACAGGGAAGATGCTATACGGGGTAGTAACTCAGCGGGAAAGATCTCTGCATGGACGTGAAGGTGCAGCTGTACGGCCTTGATAGCCACTCATGGGTGTTTTGTGGGTACGCATGCTATCACCACTGTACAACACAGAAACACCAGAATGAGGTGGTCTTAAAACACAATTAATCGTTGCACCCGGCAAACGAGATTATTCCTCAAAGGGGAAAAAAAGAAAAGAGGTTCAGTAATGAAGAAACAAAACACTTCCGTCAATACGATGAATTAGCTTGGCTCTGAACCATGGCCTGGGCTGAGAGGCACTTTTTCACTCCTCCTCCAAACTTCCCTCCTCTTTCCACTTCCTCTGCCCCCTGCCCCCAGGCCACGACAAAAGGGGTAAAATCATGACCCCACAGCCCTGCTGTATCAAAACTCACGCCACCTCCAGCCGAGCCGGACGGTCCCGTTGTCTCACAGCACTTCCAGGAAAGGGCTCTCAATGTCACCCTCTTCGGAAGCGTCTGTGTCAGGCCCTGCACCCCTTACAAGACACAGATGTGCACGTGCCTGCCCTCCTCTCTGCTTGCCGTCTACCAAAGGGGCAGCAAAGGAGGCCTTGTGGCCCATTGGTAAGGATGCTCAAGACTGCCCGTGCTCCTTAAGCGAGCTCCATCCTACCCCCTAGGATGAGACTTCAAAGCAAGCACAGTATAGATGGAGGCTCTGCAGCAGAAAATGTGATTCCCACAGTGCCCTGCTGGTCTGAGAGCAGCTCTTTGGATAAGGCTGTCTCCTGAATAACCTGATATTAATGCCATGATGATTCTTCTAATGCTCATAAGTTCTTGCATTTATTCAGTGCTTTTCATTTGGAGAAACTGCTCTCAGTACCGTATGTGAGTAAACCAAGGCAGTTCCTTTTAATGCACCAGGGCTGTGTGAAAACACCACTGTGAGAAGCCGGGAGAGTGCGGTGAAGGTGAGGCATGCAGCGAGAGAGGGGAGATGGAGAAAGGCAGATGGAAAGCGCAGCGCGAGCACCGCCAACCTGCCACAGGGTCCTCTATTATAATGGTGATGCTCCTGTGTCCCCCTGCTTCACAGAGTACAAAGAGAGAGGGGTTAGAGGAGAGAGCAGGGGGGAGGGAGAGTGGAACACAGAGGTTAGAGAGAAAAAGAAAGCCGAGATAAACAGACAATCTTCAGTTAAAAATTAAACTGTGAGAGATACATGCAGCCACAGACAGAGCTCAGCAGGCAGACTCACCCCTAGCTACACAGATATCTTACACACACACCCACCCAGACACGCCCACCCCCACACCAGTCCACAGAGTGACCCCCAAAACCCTCCTCACCGTTGCTGCGTTTCTGCATGACCCCGGTGTCGGACAGGGAGCGGACGTGCCCCTGCTTGGCCCCTCCACACCGGTCGGGCCCCTGGCCTTCTGAGAACGAGGAGCGTCGGGGGGACGTGGCTAGGGGGCAACGCCTGGCAACAGAGCCCTCCACCTGGTCGCTAGTGGTGGAGTTGTTGGCGGAGCCTCGGCGCCGGCGCTGGCCCAGGTTACCGATGGCCAGGTACTCTGGTCCGTCATCAAAGTCAGCTTCCCCCGCCTCGACCCCTTCACCCCCCTCGCCAATCCAGGCAGGGGAGCTGGGCTCCGTCAGGGAGATGTGGGGGACCATGGGGGGCCCCAAGGGAGTTGAGGCACTATCCTGCTGCCCAACCCCACACATCCAGGGGGCACCAGACACACTGTGACAGAAGGAGACACCTGGAGAGAGTGGGGGTGGTCAAGCGAGACAGTTAACATGTTAGCATACATTTGCCTCCCCCTTTAGCATGCAGGCACTACAAGCACCCAACCACCTCCTCCTCCGGCCCACACAGCACTCAACAGTCTCACTCCTCCTCCGGCCCGCACGGCGCCTGACAGACCCACAACCCCCCTCCTCCGGCCCGCACGGCGCCTGACAGACCCACAACCCCCCTCCTCCGGCCCGCACGGCGCCCGACAGACCCACAACCCCCCTCTCCCACTCACACAACGCCTGAAGTTGAGTACACATGATACCTTTCTCCTTCTCCATTAGGGTGGAGTTTGTGGCATTATGGCGTTGGGGTACTTTGATGTGTGGGGGGCAGGACATCTCTCTGTCCCTTAAGCCTGGCAGTGCACACAGACCCTGAGTCTTCAACAGACACAGTGGTGTCTGCTGCAGGTGAGATAACTGCAGGGAGGGAGACAGTAACAACATGACTGGTGGCGTCAGGGTGACAGAGACAGTAAGAGAGAAACCAGGAAAGTTAGAGGAAGTCAGTGGAAATTCAAGACTGGGAAAATGTCTCTTTAAATGCAGTCAAGCACATAACGGTACACGCAGGTAGTAAAAACAGACTAGAAATATGAAATGGGAATCATGGACCTTGAGGAAGCTCAGAAAAAGAATGCATTTTTTCATCCTGCAAAACTAAACCAAACAACTTAAGAAGAAAAGCGAAACTTTCTAATTTTCTTCGGCGATCGAGACAGTGAGACACCAGGAGAGACAGAAAGAGAGGTGGCAGCACTGCTTACCCTGCCAGTGTCAATCAGGGCCAGCAGTCGGGGGTCGTTCTGCTCCACCGCCTCCAAGCACTGAAACATGGCTGAGACGTGTGGCTCACTGAGCAGGAAGGCACCCTCTGGGACAGGGAGGGGAGGAGAGACAGGTGACACTGAAACTACCATGTGCGACACGCAGACGTTTGCATGCATGTACTGGTGAGGACCTCCCACTGCCTCTCACATTTAGCATTTATTTACGGTTCTTTATGCCAATAAAGTTAAACATAGCATGAAGACAGACCTGTATACGGTATATACTGCATACTGACACCAAAACACTGCTGTGAGAATCAGAGCCTTAGTGTAGCTTACCGGCTAAAGAGCTGTAATTACAGCTGACCTGCCACTCGGGGCCACTACACACCCTTTAAATCTTTGTAAATAGCCTCACACAGGGTGATAAGTGGCTAGATTAGCAGTGAAGGGTGTTTCTACGCACTTCACTCACATGGGGTTAATTAGGATTTTTGCTTGGTATTTAAGGGACATGCATGGTGCTAGTGGAGGTTGGGATTTTTGATTGCTTTCCTTTTGTTGCCGTGCGGAAAAGATCTACAGTACAGACCTGAGGACTTGACAATTCTTGGCCCTAGGGACTACCCTGCTTGAGGGGAAGGGCTGTGACAGAGGATTTGTTTTTATCCGAGAGAAGTCCATACAGCCTTCTGCTTGCTTGGTTAGTCTTCTCTGACCTACGTCCAGGGCAGCAACACCCTCTTTGAACAGTGAAGACCAGCGTTGAATACGGGTTTTGTAGAACAGTTCTCAGGGCACTTTAAAGACCTCACATGGCTTCTGTTGAATAGCTATTTACTCTAAACTGCCTGTATCTCAGCGGCAGACCTTATCACACCACTTCCGCACATTGTCTAAATGACAGCCATAATGAATCAACATTAACGCGATTAAATTGGCCCCATCTTTCAATTTCCACTGACCTGACATTACCGGAGCCCATTCTTGCAACGTGCTAACAGGAGTTTTCACTTTAAGACAGTGTTTGCCAGACATTTGTATTTGCTTTCCTGCTGTTGCTACTACAGCAAATGGGATGACTTCACGAACTGCACTATCATATTAACAGATCACCAAGGAACTATGTGCTGCACCAGATCCCAACCCACAGGCAAGCTGCAAGTTTCTTGAGATTACTATTTAAGGAACAATCTTTTACAACAAGTTTAATCATCAGTGACGTGGACATCGCTCAGCTCATAACTAGTACTGGAATTGCTCAAAATAGTTAGACAAGATCTGTCTTCTTTAAAACTCAAACTGAATGTCCCTGGGAGCAGATCAGACTCTCAGTGCATAGCAGCCATTGTAGGTTTTACAAGCTAAGGGCTTTTAGAAAACCTGTCACTAGAAGGAGGATACAAAATATGTAATGCCTGTGAACTTTTGGATAGATCTGTTGAACAAAAGCAAGTTGCACTTATATTAAAAACTATTGCTCCATTTCAGCACGGTTTTTCATCCTGGAGCTTTTAAAGTATGTAAGTGGCTCAAGCTCCTGTGCAAAGGGTATCTGATGCATTTCTCTGCTATCCCTATAAAAAAGAGTCTCCCAGTCCTTGATGGTGGTTTTTGTTCCACCTGGGCACTCAAATAACTGACGTCTTTGTAGACCAAATAATACATTTGATATTTGAACTCTGATTGTTTTTAGTTACTAAACATGTAGGATGTTGACTTCTTACTGCTGTGTTTCTTTCGTATCTTATCTTCAACTTCAGAGTAGAAAAACAAACCGGCAAAAGGTTGCAACCCAGCAACTTGTTGACTCAGTTAAGGATTCATTTAAACCAAGTGCTCAGCTGCAATGGAATCCAGTAAGTGTGGGATTGAGCAACCCTGCTCCAGCCATCTTCC